AATGGATCTATCTTGTGCTTGGCAGCAAAGAAACTACGCTATTCAACCCAACACTCAACTCAACGAAGGAGTCTTTGGTTTTGTCGTGTCTGCGGCTCCTTGAGCTTCTGCTTGTAAGCGGCCTGGGCAGCCTTGACCCAATCCAGGACCTTCTTCCAAGTCAGGGGCAGCTAAGCTAAGGCTCCTTCAGGCTCTTCAGGCTCCAGCTCTCTGCTGCATCTCCAGAGCGGGCTCGCAATCCTGTCCAGGTGTCTGGGTTGGCATGGAGCATCATGCTCTTTCCGTTTTTGCTCCCCATCCTCTGCTCTCAGCGGCTTCGAGGTGATGGGACAAATGCTACCTCAATCTCTGTAGGGGTCACATTCCTCACCCTCCCTAACCCTCCGAGATGCGGACCGCAGCTGCTAATCCACCGAAGCAGCCTGGCGAAGGCAAAGATGCCGCGCTGGCGCTGCAGGCTGCAGCCCAGCAGCCCAGCTTCTCCCCATTCCCCCGGCGTGTCTCGCTCGAAGAAATGGCCGTGAGGCGATCGTATCGGAGCCTAGGCACGGACTGCAAACAGGCTGAATGAAGTCGAGTCTTAAGAGCTACAGCAAGCTTTAACATAGTTACAGATTACATGCAGCGCTTGCAGACCCTTTCAAAGGAGGAGCCACTTGGATTGCTCGATGAAATCTGATTCGTGGGTTTACTTCTCATTCGGCACTAGATGTTTTCGTGAGATGGGCCGGCTGCTAGTGATCTGCGTTCTATATTCTAGTTGTGCACAGGTTCTGCCCTCTTTTCGCTTGCTCCTGCTACCTGCCAGCAAGCTTTTGAAGCTTGAGGTGATCTGACAAAGCACACATCGGCGGCGACCTGCAAGCAGTATTGTACCTGTGAGTCTGACTTGCCACGGCTAAAAGTGCCATGTGCTCGACTGACCGAAGACGCACTATCTGCATCTGAGCAGCTGCCATAAGCTTTCCGTCGATTGCACAACGCAGATCCTGCAGAGCTGGGGCTAAAGTGTTGAGAGTGGAGCAGGCGGGCCAGGCAGGCGCTAGGCAGGCCTCCGGAGCATCCAAGGGATCCTGAAAGCTGGAGGAGATCTGCATTCGGGGACTTCCATTCTGTGCTGCAATGCTCTTCAGCTCAAGCCGTGTCAAAGGTTACGAAACCACACATTGATGCCTGCTTACAGTTTCAGGCTGAGGAAAGATACTTCCCCCTCCCACTGTTGTTTGTCATCCAGCTTCCGGACAGCCGCCTCCCCGCTGCCCAATGTCAACCGCATGCCCAGCAAGATTACCGTAATTGAGTGCGCGACCACGCCCCGCAGTCGAGCAATGTCTCCACGGGCCAAGTTCTGGCAGCAAAACGCAAGCTAAGGGGAGGGGGGGGGAGGGTTGCATTCCGAAAGCTGCAGCGCGCCTCTGCCTTGCGCCGGGGTGCTGGTGAGGCTGGTGATTCAAAGGCCGGCCTCGACACTGTTTGCACAGCATGCTGCTAAATACTGCAGATCTTGCCGGGCTCCCAACAGACTCACAGCACCAAGAGATCCGTTTGGCTTCGGCGAAATTGGCGACCGCACTGACTGACCGTGTTGCGTGTTTCTTAGCACGAACAAGAAGGCATTCAGCACCCGCCTCAGCTTCCAAACTTTTCTCGGTTGTCGCTTCCTCCTCATTCACCACTCTGGGCACCAACTTTAGATTTTCCAATGGCGAGGCGAGACTCCTCCAATCGCAAGAGCCGCTTGGTCATTTCCAGTGGGCTGTCTTCGGCCATCTCAAATCAAAGGTTCATAAAACGTAACGTCTCAGCATCACACATCTACAAACAATGCAAACATCAGGCTCCGCGCGTCAGCCGGGCCAGCTGAACCTGCTCTGAGTCTTGTTTTGTTGTGCTATATATATAGGTCAACATCAGGTCAGATGGTGGAGAGCCAGAACCATGATCTGCAAAGCACAGGTGACCCACACGCCCCATGAAATTTGCGCAAACAAGATTTCATCTTGATCGCTCCAATATTATTCCTGCCATGTCGTGCAACAATCACACGACCTTCGCTCCCAATCATCCTCATTTTCTCCAGTGCTCCTCATTTATCCGAATAATCATAACATTCTCGATATCTCCAAAACGGCCAAGATGATTGATGATTACTGTCTCAAGTTCCTGCTACTCCTGTGATTGTCCACTTCCCCTTTTTCAGCCCTACCAGCGTCTTTTCAGAATCCTTGATATCCCCAGCAAGAAAACGCGCCAATACTCAGAATGGTACTCAGAAGCTGGGCCTTGTCTGAAAACAAAGCCTGCAGACTCCACCTTAAAACCACGGCCCTATTTCAGAACAGTGGGTTTACGAGGCCTAAGATGTTGTGTCCTGTCCAGTAGGCCTCTTAAGGGCTCACAACAACCCTTTCTGAGAGGATGTTAGGGTCTCCAAGTCTCAATCTGTGAGTTTTTTCATTCTCGGGGCGCAATGACTTCAACACCGGCTTTAAGGACTCGACTGCTCGAAAGTTGTTCGACATATCGCTCCATGAGCCTTCCCAGCATGCTCTGGGCTGCAAAGCGGTGAGCCCCTGACTGTGCGCTTCTGGGGCTCTGGCAAGTCCAGAAGCGGTTGCGCCTCACTTGGCCCATTCTTCACTTCGAATCCAGCATCCTGGGCCGACTGGGAAAATGCAAAGTGACGAGCTTTCCCCTCTTGAAGCTGGCCTGCAGGCAATGCCTCACCTCGGAGGCAGACAGTATTCAATGATAGCTTTACGTTGCCGAAGACCATTTTGACGTTTGACTGTATCATGATCTTGCGTTTCTGCAAGCTGATGCCTCCGACGAAGGCTTGAAGAGCAAACGGCTCCGCCTGTCGGTAAAGGCGGGTGTCCTCTGATTTCATTTGATAAGATGTGCCCTGTGCCCCCAGCGTGTCCACCTGCTGCCAAAACATAGCCTCATATAGCTTCAGCAGAGTTTGGACAACGCTGACAAGCGTCTGCCTGTGTTTTCATGCTGATTACCGCGCCTTCTCCTCATCTGTCAGCCGCTGATAACACTGGAGCACCTCCCTCAGGACCTGCTTTTCATGTAGCATCTTTCAAATTCGAGCTGTTTGTTTGGGGAAACTTCCCGCGTCGTCTTCGACGCTGACCCACAGACATAGGGCAAGAAAGCAGTGACATGCTGGAGATCATCGCTAGTGCTGCTTGATTCAGGGTGTTCACTCTTCGGTCCCGTCTGCAGTATTGGGTTTGGCATTGAATTTGCGGCTTTTGCTCTAATTAACAATTCCGAACAACCAGACGTGGTATTTGAATCACTCCCCAAAACCAACCCAGACAGGAAATACAAATGAGAAGGCCCGCGGGGCTTGATGGGTCTCAGGTACAGCTGATACCCTTGCCAATTCCCGAAAAGCAGTAGCTAGGTTACGATAAGCAGAAAAACACAGAGGTTAAGTGACGTAGAGGTTGATAACAAGTGTGTGTGTGTGTATCTTGACCCTGCTCTTGTGACGACACTCATCAATGTAAAATGTTAACCGCACCAACACTCTGCTCTCCTGACGACACTCATCATTGTAAAATATTAACCGCACCAACACTCACATAATGCCACCCATTTTGCTTTCCTCACAAAAAAGGTGCAACGCTCCAGCAATCTACCAGCCAATTGTATAGTTCAATGGGTGAAGTTGTTATTCCCCAAATACCAATACTTACTGGTGCAAGCTTGGGCCAAATACTGTCGCGATGGCACGACATGCAGTCACCTAGCAGACGTAAAACTTGGATACATGTACCATTATCCGATACCTTATTGTTAGCATGAAACGAGCATACGCAAAAACTCCCTAAGCAGAACCGAGAACATCATCATCATCATCCTGAAATGCGGTATGGCCATGGGCAGCTGATGCCTCTCAAAATTGGATAGTACAATCGTCAAAGATCGTCTAAGATTGATTCCATTCATACCACGACACAACCTATGGCAGAACTTGAAGCAGCATTTGGATCGTTCTCCCCATAATTGGCGTCAAAATTTTGATAAGGACATTGGTATTGGTAAACCTCGTTATTGTAGACAAGGGCTTGCATCCTTTGATGATGCATGGTTGTCCGGCACAAAAATTTCGATCACAATCGTTGACCCAAAAACTGTCCACCATCTTTTCAACAACGTCAAGATCCGTGTAGACCTAGCCAAACATAGGTCGGAAAGCAACCCACCCATGGTTTCGGGGAGCAAAATGAGACTTTCATCTTTCATGTCCAAACGACCCACCTTTCCACGTCCGAGAGGAAAACGGCAAGAAAACGATCAGAGCCACCTCCATCCTCGCCCAAAAAGCACCATTTGGAAGCGTCGAAACCACTGAAGTCCAGGCGTGTGAGCTAGTCAATCCAGGTGTTTGAACATCGCCTGATACGGGAGAGCGTGGCACAAAGCCCCAATGGCATGTTCTTGGACCGTGATCTCTACTAGGGTGGAGCACGGCTTCGGTTTGGAAGATCTCTTGTTCGCTGAGCATGCCTTCCCTTTATTGTTGGTGTGAATGCGGCAAGCAGCGTCCACTGTATTGGTCGTTGAGAATTTTACAGTCAAGATGAAGAGGTCCAAGGTAGCCGTCATTTCAGGGCCCCGATCCTCCTGTTAGGATTGGGGCGCTGGAGGAAGGGAGCCAATATACGTGCGCCACATCCATGGCAAACCGGTAACCAGTGGACATAACCCTCAGTTTGGCTTGTAGGAGAACCATCCTCCAATCGCCGCCCCTTTGCTGCATCACTGCTGCCATGGCATGCAACCCTTACAGCCTCACAGTGGAGATGTCGTAAAGGGGCACATGGTCCTGCTGTCACGATGGTTGAGACCGAGCTAACCAAAACCCGCACCATGCCACCCAGCTTGCATTTACGTTGACCCTTTCTTCCTAGACACAGACACAAAGCGGCTGGAGGTGAGACGATACTTGCGCGACTGGCGAGTAAGCCTTCGCTACTGACTGTAAGCGTCCCACGCAGGAAAGAACTTCTTTCATGGTGTGGAGCTCACCTTTCCGCATCTTTTCCAAAGCAGGAAACGAAATCTCCTGTTTCTCCCAGAGGAGCCAAACCGTGCCCTGGGCGATGTTGACCATGTAGCCCAGCCAGCGGTCTTCAATGTCTTCAACCCCCGAGACAGCCCCTTTTGGTCAAAAACAAAGCCAAGACGCAAGAAGTCTTGAAGCCATGGCCTTTGCAAGAATCGCCGTGAAATCACGCACGAGGACCAAGATCCAGAGAAGTTCCGGAGTGAGCTGGTAGGCAGCAGCTAGCCTCGTCAGCAAGGCCCCCAACCCGTCTTTCCGTCTTTGACGGTTGCAACGTTGTACCGCCGATGCTTCCTGAACACTTTGATGCTTCGGCGCGCCTCGCTGATGTCTGACTTGTACAAGGCGTAGTCCTCACCCTCAAGTTGAAGGCGGGCGCAGAGGAGGTCAAACAAGGCAGGCGCCATAGTTTTCTTGTGCGTGTTGGAGAGGGCTGTTGTCATTGACGTCACTGTCGGCGGCATCAAAGACAGCGCGAACCTCGGCTTGACCCCCACACAAAGATCTTGGGGATGGCGCCCTGATTGGCGGAACTCCAACTTTCGCCTACAGCAGGAATCTCACGAACCTCGGGCTTGCCATCGAATGAAACTTTCTCCTTCTTGGGCTTGATGATCTTGAATGTGGTGAACCCCGCCCAATTGACAACTCTGGACTCGAATTTACTTGACTTCCAATTCCAAATCTTCTCACACTAGCTCTACGGTCGGGGTCGCCTTGGGATTCAACTGATCAGGAGAACCGGGAAAATCACGCGCGTGGACCCGCAGGGACAAATCCCTTGGTCCTCGGGACCACATGGCGGCGGATCAAAAACACCCTTCTTGGGTTTGTGCTCCCAGTAAACAACAGAGGTAGGCGCGCCCTTGCGGCCAAATGCCGTGTAAAAAGGTGCCATGAGAACACTGCACACAACAGACTCCGCACCGGTGGCCGGCGAACTTACACACTTGGCACCAGCATTGCACTCACCGACTTCGTGGAAAGGCGCAGGACTTTGGCGAGCCTTCGCGTTTTAGCTCTACCGCGATTTTGGCTGTACTCCCAAGCCTCGCATGCTTGTGCTTGCGCTCAGCCCTTTTTGCACACCTTCTAGTCTTAACTGAAGATAAGCAAAACCACTGAAAACTTGAATGCCAGCTCCACGTCTGAATGGCCATCGACCCTTCCTGCCACTTTTGCCTCTTCCTTTGTCCCTCTGCGCACGGGCTCTGCGCGTGGCTCCACGCGCTTAAGCTATCTTATGCCTGCTCTTCCCGACCTTTTCCCGAGGCAATGGGGATCTGATAGCTGTGGGTCTCACTCTCGAGCCTGCGCGAGTTCCTGACTTGGCGAAACAAGATGCCAGCAAAGTCAGCGCCTCAGGTACATGGGACATTCTAGCACTTGCTCTCAGAGTTGCGTACACATGTATTCCGATCATAGTTCACACAAGAACAATCATAAGGCGATCTTCTACGTCATCGGCTTTAAGAAACTGCTCAAACATCATACAACCTGCCTACCTCGGACTGCTCTCAAATGCGCGGCCTCCGACTCCTTGTAATTTACAATCTGGCACGCTAGTTCGCCCTTCACTACCTTGCTGATAGTGGAGCGGCGGTTGGTGTCTGGGGTGAGGAATTTCCCCAGATCAGATCACGCAAGTACTCAAGCGTCTGATCCTTGGTGTATCTCTGTGCCCCTACTCGCGACAAAGACTGCGAGGCTTTCATACAAGGAGATTCGGGCGAAGGCTTGCCGGGCACTACTTTGGGGGCGTCTGTACTCGAAGTAGCTTAATCCACTCGGGGGGTAATGCTTCCAGGGTACAGAAGAACGCTCGGCCTTGCAAAAAACATCCTTCATCTCTTCAGGAATCTTGTACGGGTTCAATTCGGATCCGGCAAAATGGGGTCGTGGGGTCTTGCACGGAGCTTAGCAATGCTAGGGGCTCTTTGCCCTCGTTCACTTCCTGGGCTTTCCTTGCTCAAAGCTACCCATGGCTGCGGGCTCTTCCACCAATTCGCGCCACAGCTCCGCACTTTGCTCGGAAAGATCCTGAAGCAGACAGTCAAATTCTACCCCCTAGCTGCCTCTCAAAATTTCGAGAACACGAGCAACAAAGTCTTCGGCGTGCCGCTCTACAAGTATGCTTTGACGCCTCTTTTGTTCTAGCGGTGCCTGTGTAGCCCCAAGCTCAAGTTTCATCTCATGTGCAAATCCGTTGAAGTTACCCACTAGCACATTGCAATGCGTGCATCATGGGGGCTTCATCTGCAAAGTGATGTAGTTCCTGCATCTCTTAGTTGACTAATGACCGGGTGTTGGCTTCAATTTCCCCAAGACGAAGCTATGCAGCAAATCTAATTGCATCGGCTTCCCCATTGTTCGTGATCTGGGCATTCTGAATCAGGTTCACTGTCCTGGCGTTCATGCAAATGGTCTGATGCGGTGTAGGAGGACCTTTTGGGGTACATTCCAGCGTGACAAATGATCTAGCAGGAGCAGCCAAAAGTCGAAGAGTTGGGGCTTATAGTACCGCAACATTCAGGGCTTGCAGTGCGCCAGCAGCAGCCGTAGGCAAGGCTAAGGCCATATCAAACTACGTTTGATAACCTGTAGTTACAGGTTCAGCACTCTACTACTTGTCCTTGATGTTTACTGCCGATGGGGAACTCTCAAACAAGCCACTAACATGGAAAGTGCGGCACACAAAAGGGCAAGTAGCTACTTGCATAACTGGTAGCAGAAACAGGTCAACCGCCTGAAGTGCGAAAACCTGAAGGTAGCGAAGCCAGCCCCGTGGAGACATACCGAAAAGCTCCGAAATGCTCCGCCTTCCCACACTTTGACACAGGAAAAGGTTACAACTTACAACTGAAACGGAAGAGTTGCAACAAGCAACAACAAGTTACAACTTACCCGGCTACAGGGGTCGGACCCATCCAATGTGCGGTAGAGTTTTAGCCCTCTGTGCCGAGGGGAATGTGCCAGGGTGTTGTGCGAAAAAATTCACCACATCCCAATCTTCCTCGGTTACGCTGTTCTAGATGAATCTCAGAACAAACAGCGTTCACATCAAAATCCCAGACACCAGACCCGCGTCGTCAAATTCAGTCATGCATGCGGCTAGATCACCACTGTGCTTGTTGACCGAACATGCAAATAGGCCGGCCAGCGAAGCAAGAACTTTGAGAACAGTGTTGAAGGAGAGGCTTCTATGTGAGCCTGGAAAGCCTGCAACTGCAAATAACTTTGCACGGCTCAGTCCCAACCTCAACGCCCAGAAATCCTCAAAAGAAGAAGATTGAGGGGTCACGCAGAACCTCAGCCCCAGACCGGGGAGGCTAGCAGCCCTAAGGCAAGGCGAGCAAGCCTTGAATTGAGCCAAGTATTCTGACTGGCAAACGGCTGTGCTCCACGAACGCAGCTACGTACTGACCTTACTCCTTCAAGTTCCGACGGCTGCTTGCCTGTCACATCAAGCAGCACTTCGTTGTGGCTCAGGCAGAGCGGGGTGCACGTCTTGGCACTCCAGGAAGCGGCCCGCCAGTGCCTCCAATGACGGCAAGACACAGGAGCACATGACTCAACAAGGGAAGTGAAGATGTCGCCAGTGCCTCGACCATCGCAAGGTCTGGATCTTTGCTGTGTCTGCAGCAATCTGCAGCCCGCAGACTGGCAAGTCCCACCACAGCGTCTAGCCTCAGCCAGTGTATGTAGCACTCACACATGAAAGCACAAATGCGCAACAAGCGCAACAAAAATGCAGTTGGACAAACACCCTCACAGAAGCTTCTCCACCGTTCTCCTTCCAAGATCTCAGTAAGTTAAATGTTTGTTAATTTCATCACCTCAGGAGACGGAGGATATCACCAGCTTGGATGCGAAACGGCTGACTGGGAGCTCGAATGGGGATAGATAGACCGGCTCAGTTGTCAATTGCAGCTGTCAATGGGGTGAGGAAGCAAAAAGCCCAATGCCAACAAACGGAACATCTGCGATCGAATGTTCCCCCGTCCTCCCGTCCCGAGCGCAACGTTGAATTCGGGCTTCACTCTACTCGCGCTCTGCAAAAGAGCTTTGCGCGACCCGGGCCCTGGCATGGCTTGAGCTGCGAGGAGAGGCTCCGAAGCTGAAGTTCTTGCCTGACTGCTGACTTTCAAGTTTTCTGCATGTGGCTTCATGCAAAACGGCCTTGGATGGCCTCGGGCAGTCGGGCGATGAGCAGTTCGGCGAAGGAGTCCGCAAGAGTCAAGATGGCCTTCCAAGGACAAATTTCAGTGTCAAGGCTCAAAACGCGAATTTCGTGTTCCTATGTTCCTCGGCAGCGCACGGGCGTCAGCATGACCATGTGCCGCTGCACGAGCTCCCCGCTGCCGTGCATGGACGCAAGAGCCAGCGTGCTGACCTTTGCTGGTGAACTCCGCTGTCTGCTCCAAAGCTTCCCCAACGCACTGCCACTGATGTCTGTGTCATAGGATCAAGATTCCAGCCAGACGACATAGCAGGACTGCCGTCGGAGAGCCCGATGCATTTCCAGACCTGGCCTGAGGCTTTCTCCCAACAGCCCATGTCTCTCAACCAGAATATGCAGTCTGCGGGGAGGGAGAAAGGGGGAGGCAGAGAGCGAGAGCTCCTCTGTTCAAGCTCAGCATCATCTATGGGGGCATATGAAAACGATCTGCAGTGTGGTGAGTGCAGCTGCCCGCTGTAAAGCACAAGTAGCGCGCCTTGCTTTGAGCAAAGTACCCTGCACACGAGTTGCGGGTCAATGTGCCATGATGCCTCAAAGAGCGCCAGCATGTTCTCTTACAGCTAGCCCGACTAGCGATTGGTTCGCGCTTGGACGTATAGAGCTTTCCCAAGCCCAGGGGACTTGCTGGCTTCTGAAGGACGTCCCGTTGCACAGTGGCTTCTCGAAACCTTGACACAGGACTTTGCAGCTGTACCTTCAGCTCAAAGTCAAACCTGAATCATTGGATCCAGGAGACGGCTGTCATGGAAAACTATCGTTTTTCAATCGCCAGTTGTCCTGCGATTTTCCTTCACTGTTGCACTACCTTCAGTCTCCCATGGGACACACCAGTACAAGTTGCAAGGCGCTGCTGATTCAAAAAGCAGCTTGATCTGTGTTGGCTACAGAGTCCTCTTGCGAAATGGTGGGCTGACGATTGGGTCACTTCGCACAAGGTTCTGCAGCGCCAGAACTGAAGTGAAAAGGTTAGGTCCTGGCCCCATCTGCCACTTGGCATATCGAAGGCTGCCAAATTCCGTAATGAAGCACTGGTCACTTCTCTGCTCATCTGAGCTTTACTTGAGAGACTGGGTGGCTGCCATCTGAGTGCACAGCCCAGGCCACATGAGTCTCGCAGCATTGGAGAAAGGATCCTAAGACTTCCAACCTCAGCGCAGCTCATCGCAGCTCATCGCAGCTGGCCGCGCAACTGTGACCATCTTCTCTGTAGGCCTTCTTCAAACTATCCCTGTCCGGCCGATTACATGCATCAAGTAAACACTCAGTTACTAGACAGGCGAGCGCTAGCGGGCAACCTATACCTTGCTTCCCTGCGGGGTTTTGGATAGATTGTTGAGGCACGGTCGCCGCGGCCTTTCACAACATGAATTCATTTCCTGTAAGAAATATGAAGCGCTATTCAATTTATTGAAAATTACTGCTGTCCTTCGAGTAGCTTCTCAACACATAGGAAGATGCATGTGTGTTACAAGTGGAGTTGACCATCAAGGGAGGAGATTCAGATCGTGAGTGCGAGGGCAAAAGCATGCAAAAGCAAGAGCTCTGAAGAGATCTGAAATGTGGGATGCGGGCTGGACTGCTGCGCCGGCGAGATTCAGCACGTAGCTATCCAGCTCGGCCTGATTTTCAACCCACGCTTTCAGTGGCTTGACTTCGGGGCGCCACGTAATCGCTTAGCGCCTGCAAGTCTGCCATTTCGCCGGTTTTGCCGGTGCCCCAAAGGGCATCTGGCCTCAGCCCAACAGAAGCCACGGAAAGAGAACGCGGCTGAAAGGTCCCTGGCTGGTACAGTCTGCAATAAGCGTGGGCAAAGCTTTCCTCAGCTACTTCAAGCCGGGAAGTGCGAAGATGCGCAAATTGGTGGTGCCGGTACCTGCAACCGCAGGACACGATGAGGAGCAAAGAGCCTCAGCGAGAGACCCTTGTTCTGCTGGCTCCGCATCTCTTTCAAAGTCTTCTTCAGATTCCGCAAGTGTCAAGGGCCTATTGAAGATCCCGAGGGCACAGCTGCCCAGCGGCAAGTGGGGCCAGCGGAACCTGTAAAGCAAGAATCTTGCATAATCTTGCCGTGTTCCTGCATCCTCTGAGCTCTTTTGGGATCCCGGCCGAGAACAAGTGGCAGGCAAGGACCGAGCATAAGGTGGCATTGCCGCAAAGGTCCAGCCTCTGAGGAGACTCTGACCGGACAGCTCTGCTTCAGGTCAAATTGGAGAACTGGCTGTTCAGTTTAAACCGCCGCTTACGTTTGTGGAGCTGAGCGCTACGCAGTGCAGAGGCTTCGAGGCTTCCATCCTCAGCACTAACAGCATCAGGCCTTGTGTATGACCATTCGGTTGCCTTGGCTGCGAACGCCAAGACACTCCATCAGCGCCTCCCACATGGACGCCTCAATTCTGCTCTGCAAGCATCGCACAGCACTGTAGCAAAGCATATTCCATTACTCCAAGACTCCAAGCCAAGCAACACTGAGGTGAGAATGCAGGGTGCTCAAGTCGTCACGGCTCTCATTGTGCATCATAAGGAGCAGGGCGTCGAAGATATCGGCCACCGACTCCAGACATGCTCTCCTTGAGCGTGTCAGCTTGTACTAAACGCATACTGCGCCCTATGTAGTCTGAACTGCAACCTCTGCGCCTCCATTTAATGCACTCTGAAGCTCCCACACTCTCTGGCACCCTGCAGGGCAAGAGATGTTGCCGATGCAGGCTCGATGTCGGCTCGCAGGTTTACTGGCCGAATCTTCTTCCATTCGCTGGGAGGGTCGCCCTCATTCAAGCGGACCTGAATGCAGACTCATGCGGCCGCTGCTGCGGCCGCTGCCACTCTGCCACTCTTGGCAAGTAGGCCAGTGGCAGTGAATCGGCCCGTTGGAGCGTGGAAGCTTTGCACCACACCACGGGCCTAGGCAAGACTCTCAAGAAAAAACTCATTCCCTGGAGCCTTCCAAAGGCCCTCACACCGTTCAGCTGCTCCCCCGTAACCGTCCGCAGGCCCGTCAACGTCACCCCCTTTCAAGACAGGCAACGCGCACAGCCTCAAAGCAGATTTCGCAGGCAGCCTGCCCGGGGATGAGGAGGTCGCAGGCGAAGCGGAAGGCACGAAGAGCCGCCGAAAGGGACAAAAAACAGCCAAGGTGGCAAAGAGCGCGTGAAACCCAGGGAAGGTCCTTGGCTTAACGCAAGCGCTGCGCTCTGTGTGTTTCAGAGGCTGAACTTGCCATGAGTCCACAGAGACATCCAGCAGCCGAAGAGTCCGAACCAGGGCCTTGAAAAGACAGTCCAAGCCTTGACACTTCAAAAAACATTGACACTTGCGTTCGCAAAGAGCTTTGGCCTCGCAGGTCTGCGCTGCCAGGGAGGCGTTGAGGGTTTGGGCTTTCCCCTCATTCCAGCAGAGTTTCGCCACTTGCAGCCGCTGCCACACGGCCTGATGTCTCAGTGAAATATGAAGGGACAACGGCCTAAGCTGGGGCTCTGGGGCTCTGGGGCTCTGGGGCTCTGGGGCTCGGGAGTCTTTGGGGTTGGGTGCGGTGGCCTTGCCAGAGGGTTGCCTTCTTAGGGGATCCAGAGCCAATTGCAACCTAACCAAGGCAACGCACCGTACAGCTCCCTTTCTTCTGCCTGGAAGTCTCCTGGCACGAAGGCATCTTGCCGGTCCACGAGCAGATCCAAGAGAGCAGTCAGGTAACCGGCAACGTTCTTGCCACCCTCCATCTCGCATCACAGCCATGGCTAACATGGCCATCTGCAGACTGCACATGGTCTGGAAGAACTCACAAGCTCGTGATGAAGGAGTGCAATACTTTTCTCTAGACTAAGCAGTCTTTTGTTCGTCCAGGCTGTCATACTGCACATGTTTCGTCAATTCTGCAAACCTGATGTAGTCTTGTTGGCTTGCTTACGGAGGCAAACGTGTCTCACTCCCGCCGTCTCTGGGCCAAGATTCATGAGGACAAACACGTTCCCGAAAAAAAATGCCGCGGGGCCTGCACAGGCCGCGCATCACATCACAAGGAATTCGAGCTGGCAAGGCAAAGATCACAGCATGCTCCTGAAAGGCAACGGCTGTTTTGATTCAGAGGCCCAGATTTGCATCGGCTGCCAGCGCCGTGGAGGCCTCTGCAAGTTGTAGGTTTCATGAGGTCTCCATCTAGGTTCAGACAACGCTTCACATGCAAATGTGCCAATCTCAAACCTACAATCTCAGCGATTCTGCGCTCCACGAGCCCTAAGATTGTCGGATTGAAGAATCTATTTTGGTGCACTGGATTTACTAAAGAATCCTTCCAGGCCTCCATGCCCTGGAAACAATAAAGGGATCGTTTACATGGCGGTCAATTGATTTTGCTTGATTTTACCTTGCTTTTGATGCATGTTTAATTTGGGTTCAGCAGCTCACCTTAAACTGCTCAAGCTGACTTACCTGGCTACCCTGAAAGTGAAGTGAGAATAAGTAAGCTGCTTCTGATGCCTGATTTGCTTACTTTCAGACTTACAGTTTACTAGGAATGAAAGGCGAGCCACCCCTTCGGAGCTTCAGTGAGAAGAGGCGGGGCCCCAAGAAGTTTATTCGTGGCCCTTGATCTTCACAGACCTTTCGCACTCTCCACATCTCTCCACTCCACTCCTCAGGCTGTTACACCTGATGTTTATAAACATCATTCATGAATCTTTGGAACTTTGCGGCGCAGGAATACACCTGGGAGTCTACAAGAGCTCCGGAAACATCTCTTCGCCGTTGGGCTCCAGAAGTTCGCGCGAGGGCCGCGTGTTTACGAGTTGCTTGAAGCACGGCCCCTTTGGCACACCGGCCTGCTGGAGTTTCCCCGATATACTCACGGATGGGATTCCAGTTGTTCCTTGTTGACTTGACTTATCAGAAGGCCCAGCTCCTGAGGCTTTTAGTACATTCTCATGTTCAGCCACCCACTCCTCCCGCGGCTCTCCTGGTCTCCAATCTCCTGAGATCTCCTGACTAAAGGCAGCTTCTTGATACCCCGCTGGGCTATGCCTGAGATGTCCGAGTCATACCCGTCTGGCGGAAGGACACAAACCAGAGCCATCACTAAGTCTAAAAGCTGATCAAGGAATTCAGTCTGAAGGGCAAATCCAGAAGCTGAAGCAAGCAAAGCTCTGAAGCACTGAGATGCACTGAGATGCACTGAGGCACTGGACCCTCAGCACCTTCAGGTCCTGGATCGGTTTGTCCTCACGACAGGACACGGGATACGATAAGTATTTCGAATCCTTTCAAATCACTTTACAGGCAGCTTGATGCTCCTGTGCGTTTGTAGCCACCGATCCGATTTTCTGCACCACCTCTCGAGGAACCAAGTTGAACTGTGAAGCAACAAGAACTGGTCTGCTTCTCTTCTTCACTTTTTTAGCTTGAGGAGCCTTCATGCCGCGCTTTACCCGGCCAAAAATGGCATGCTTGCCGTCCAGCGAGGGCTGAGGCCTTGGAAAGGTGAGCGAGATGTCTACCTGAAAGAAGAAGGCACCAAAGGCACTGTGGGAGCCGGCGAGAGCGTGATAAAGAACTGGGAGCCTCGAATTCACGAGGCTGAAGCCACAAACAAGAGGAGTTTCCATTTTTCGATATTTTTCTCCCTATAGAACCCTTTAACCTTAAACACTTTCCTAAGAAAAAAATAGACCTTTTTAAGAAGGAACTTTTAAAAAAGAAGATCCTCTTCTTCTTCGCAGAGCCGAAAGCTCTGAGCATCTCAGAGCCCTGCCGTTGCTATCGGGCCCGGAGTTCCTCAAAGCACCCAAGCTTCTTTAGAGACTTCCACCGTTTAGACCTCTAAAGTTATTCAAATAGTGATAAAAAGAAGGAGAGAATGGAAACGACTGTTCTTTGTCATAATTCTTGCGATGTCTTTTTTTTTTGGTTTCCCGAGGCCGCGGCGCCATGGACAAGATGCCGGCTCCGGTGTGCTTCAGACCTTCCAAGATGACTTGCATGTTGAGCTTTATGTATGTGGCCAGCTCCCCACCTGGATGAATCTCATCTTCAAAGGTTGGTCCGTAGATAGACTCACCCCCGCGTCCGGTCCCAGTGGGATCTCCTCCCTGGGATCATGACAGATAGAGTTGCGGGCGCTCACTGCAACCGAGTCAATCCTGGATCACAAAATTTGTCACGATCCGATGGAAGAGAGTATTGTCCTTATCATAGCTTCACGCACTGGGCTACAAGGCTGCTTGCGACACAAGTCATGCACGTAGTAGCTCCGCTTGGCCAGCTCAAAGAAGTTCATACCTCGGCTCAGGCCACGCCAGTTCATCCCTGCGCAAGCCAGCTCTTGTCCAGCGGCAGGTCTTGGGCGCATGATTCCAGTAGAGCTCCACCTGACATCTTACACCTGAGGTGACCCCGTGCTGCCTCCAACTGCGCCTCTACTTCACCCATGGAAGTGTAGAGGATCACTCCTCCTCCAGGTTGCGATAGGCCATGCGTTGCACCAAGGTTTGCCAGCCTTGCCGGACTGAAGTTTTCCAGCACTCCTAATTCCAGATTCTGAAATTTCTGGGGCTGCGGCGCCATAGGGACGTGCTGGCTTGGAAGACCAAGAGACCGGGGGGGTTCGGGCGCTCTACGGGCGCCTTGTCAAGCCGCAAACATAAATCGGTTTGGCCAGAAGAAGGTGTGTAGCCACGCAAGCACGACTTGCAGACAACTGGCAGGTGTTGACAGTTTTCCGCCCTTTTTTCAAGCGAGCGAGCCCCGTCGTTTCGAACGCTCAGAACTGCGTGCAGTTTGTCTCAGCTCAAACCTGCAGCTTTCGGTCTCCCCGTGTTTTACAAGAACACAATGACCTCGAGGTGCGGATGGAAGGGTCGCCCTCCCCTCTTCCATGCCAGAGCCTCTCAAGCTTCTAGATTGACTCCACGGAGAGATCTTTTCAACTTGAGTCCTTTTCTTGGGGATTTGGAGATTCGCCTGTCTGAGGTGATCCTCGACTGTGCGTCGGCCTGCCAGGGACATGCGCTTACACAGGCTTGAGCGAGGCACCGAGGTTTTATCCAAAAATGCGCCCTTCATCCCATGCATGCGTGGGTCACGTTGAAACGTACCCCGCGTGATGCATCATACTGCGCAGCCATTATGTGGCCAAGCCCTGAATGAGTTTTGTGAACGAATGCTCGGATTCAACGCCCATGTCGACGTAAAAGCTGAAAGTAGAACAACCTTCAGCCAACTCGGGGGCCTTGCTCGGCACCGTCCTCTGGCCCTTGCGGGGCCACGCTCAGCTCCTGCAATCCACGAGGTCATGGGACAAGCCTAAACCCAATCCTGGAGGGCCAATTGCCATCTGTTAGCTTCGTAGTTTAAAAGGATTGAAATCGGCCGCTTGGCAGACCAGTGGAAGGAGCCCACTGGCGCAGCACTGACGATTGGCATGCTGCCAATCATAGGAGCATACTTGCACCATGTGCACATGCTGCGATATGGCAGATGACCTCTCCTCTGGCTCGCTGCTAGCACGAGACGCCTTCAGCTGTGACATCGAAGCAACGAAGAAGTGAAGCTCGTCACAGGCCTTTTGCGCCAGCTCAGCCTCCAGCCTTCAGACAACTTGCTCTTGAGGCCTGGACTTAAGATTTGGATTGGTAAGTTCCGCGCTGCTCTCTTCGCCGGCGCAAGATTGTTAGCTCCATCGCTTGTGCGGCCAGCTGCCTGAAGGAAATCAGTCGTTCAGTCACTTGCTGTGCTGCACAGACTACATGTATTGTATGTCGGCCGTTCTGGGCCACAACATCTTGTTGCGAAGGCCTACCTTACAAGGTAGCATGAAAGCCGCGGGACGAGCCAGCGGTACGTTTGTAGTTGCGCATGAGAGCGTGAGTGTGAGAGTGGGTGACTATCACATAGTTTGACAGCAGCAGCAGTGCGGCCGTGCGCTCGCCCAGGCATCTATACCCGTCGCTTGGATAAGGATATCTCCGGCCGACTGCCTCTCTTTGTCACAGAAACTGTCTGTGCTGGTGTTTCATGCCTCACCGTCATACATGTGCATTTGAATTACAAATGTGCTGAGCTGCTTTGGGTTGCTGCAAAGCATTGTAAGTACGCTAAGTACCGCATGAAATCTCTTCAGCTTATGCTTGGTGTGAGGCAAGGCTTCACGGCTTCAAAGCGCAAGTGACCTGATTCTTCCTGACTTTCCTTCATGATGTGAAGACCCCATGCCATAATTGCGAAAACTAACATGTTTGTTTCTTATGCGAATGCAATTGCTACTGCAGAGGTATCCGAAAGGCTAGTGGTTTTGATTATGATTGTCAACGCAGCCTGCCCGCTGAAAAAGCATCTCGACAAGCTCCTGCTAGACATTGCGATGCTCCGTTCGGGCACAGAGCTAGGTGAGCATGATGTTCAATCCGTTGTCCTTGGCATTCTTTGACTTCGGTATCCCAAGTTGAAAGCGCCTAGCCGAAGCCCGAACCGTGCAAGAATGTATTAATAGCTGCCCCACCTCAGCGCAACAACCAGCCGCCAACAAACAGCTGATCAAACAGCGGATTCGTGATTTTGCGGCATTTCATCTGCAAAGACAGCTGCCAACGCTTCTAATGAAGAGGTCTTGGTTGCCTTATTTGTTTCCGTTGAACGTTTTCATGTTCCGTCGCGTTCGGGCTTTGCTGATTTGATCCACTTGCTCCCGTGTTGTTTTGCTGTTGATTAGACCGACAGCTTTTGATCATGGATTCTGACCAGCCCGTGCCCGAACTGCACGCGGGACCCGACAGGTTAACAGTTCCGCTCTGGTGAGTCCGAAACCTACTTCGCTGAAAACATGTGAGCGATAAAACTGAGCTCAGCGCCTTTGCGCTTGCTGTAGCGCCTGCGTCAGCTGCTCCACAAGCACAGCGCCTACAGAGAAGAGAGAAGCTTTTGGAGCTTCTAGAGAGCCCACAAACTCGACTCACCTTGCTCCCAGCCCTCTGCGCAGGGCCCTCCTATGTCCTCGCTCCGCGCCTTAGCCAAAACCCCCAGATTTAGAGCGGCTTGCAATCTTGCCACACAGCGTTTTCTATCCGCATGCGCCACGGATAGCTTTAGCTGTTGGCACTCTGAATCCTTTGCCAGGTGCGTCTTGCAGCATCAGGTAGAATCATGCAGTGTCTCTGAATCATCTGTGAAGATATCTGCCAGCGGCATTAACTCGCCATTGATATCAAACTCGATGTGTTGCACGTCACCGCTGCGCAGCAGGACCGCAATGCTCGCCTCCATTATCCAAATCCCATCCACAATTTCAGAACCCCACGTCGCGTCCACGCGGTACACGCAGCTGATGGTTGCGCCATGGCCGAGAAGCAGAGTCACAGCTTTGGTCCCATCCACAGCCGCCATCAGTATTCTAGCAGTGCTCTCGGTCAGATCCACACCGAGCTCCTGCTCATGTTGCTCACGGTCCTCACGGGTGGAAGAGTTGCAGCTGCTGTTGCTGCGTCGAGAAATTCGAGACGCGGTGGTGCCGGTGGAGAGACGTTTTGAGGAGCTTTGCCTCACTGAGTGCAGCGAAGGGCGCTCATGGCACTCAAATCGCTCTTCTTGGCCCGGCTTCTCCATGCGGGGCGAAGCGGAAGCACAGAGAGCCGCAAGGTGAGTCAGAGGCGAACTAAGCACCAAGCACGCTTGTTGCAGGCTTGTGTGCAGGGAAACCTGCCACCATCTTATGATCATGGATGCATATGACACTATGAGGCTGCAACCCCCGCCATCCCCGCCCCCTTTACGGTCACACGGCAAAAGTGCTGCACAAAGAGGTATGTCCAATCGAGTCCTCAGGGCTGCCGCGTCATCCAACAGCATTTGGTCATAGACCTTCCAATCCGAGAAACTGAGCATGCAGAGTCGGTTGCTCCTCCACAGGCAGAGCAACCCTGAACTCGGCGTCCGCGTCTTGTCTTCCGGAAAGGTCTGCGATCGGAAGGCCATGACTGTGACCAGCCCATCTCCACTAGGGAAGTCTGAGTAGGTCGGCGCAGATATGGGCAATGTATGCAATGTGTCTGTGTCGTCGTCTGGCCAGTCTGAAGCTGGGGGTGGGCCACCGCGGTAAATATCAATGATCTTCACCTTGTCGGCCTCCAGGTCCTTAGCTTTGCCACGGCCTGTGAGCTGAACTAAGCAAAAAGCCAACCCACACCACACAATTCGGATACTTTTCGTGCTTCAAACTGGTTCAAACTGCTTGTCAGACTCGATAAGGAGTGCCACTTCGGGTCGATTCTTGCCAGTGGCCGCAATGGCCACAACGAATCGTTCAGAAACCCAGAAGACAAAACACACCTCCACGGCCTCCACCTCCAAGGCCTGAAATACCGAGGAATCTGAGGAACTCCCCAAGTTGGGGCCACCAAAGTTGGGCCACTGGTGCCAGGGGATATCCGTGAAGGCCAGCTGCCTTTGCTGCACTCGGCAGCTGCCATCAAAGAGCTGAAAGAGCAAGGCTCGCGAGTTTTTCCCAGCTGCGGCAAAGTGGAAGTCCAGCCCGGCCGGGCCCAAGGCGGTGATGCGAACATCTTCCTCCTCAGCACTTTTGGTAAAGCGTCTTTTTGGCGACATTTCAGTTGAGCTCATGTGGAAGCTTCGCCACTCGCATCGGTGGCGAAGATCCCAGAGACCAATGGCGCCAGAGATCTTCTCTGCGATCACATAAAGTGGCCGTTCCCTTGCGCAGACCAGCAATAAGCAAGAAGAAGCTTTTTTACCCATGCAGCTTGCCAATGCTTCGTGTAGATGGTCAGGCTCTGGCAGCTCCACAGCCGGGTCCCAAAGCCCTGTCCAGTCGTGCGCCTGGGCCAGTACTTGCTGCCCTTGCTGCAATGTCCAGATGTGGTAGCGCGGCCCAGTTTCCACCTTATCAAACTTCAGAAGCTCCTGGTCCTGGCTCTGGATAATTTCATCGATGGTGAGCTCCCGCCACTTTGGCAACTTCCGTAAAGCGAAGTCCTCCGCTGCCATCAAGGGTTCCAAGACCAAAATGCAGGCACCCCAGCAGGGGCATAGCACAGAGCGGTGGGATTCCACCAGAAGCGACTGCCCAGCACCACCCTGGCGCAGCGGAGCGTCCGCCCGCACAAAGGCCACCGGAGCCCGTCCCCGCAGCCGCGTGGCGACCAAAGCTTCGATCCACCTCGAGAAAAAGGCACAGAGAGAGAAGGGAGAGTAAATTTCTCTCGAAAGTCTGTCGACTCAGCTCACATGCTCTGCCGGCCTGAAGCCTTGATGCCAAGCCGCCACTTGCAGCTCCGGATGAGCCTTCAGGTCACAAATCCTACTGAGGATATCTGAGGATCGTGTGTTCAAGCTGTTCAGCTGGGCATAGCTGAGAAGGCTGAGTAGAAACTTTTCAGCAAGGTGACGTTCACAAGAAAGAGACTTGAGAGACCCAGCTGAACAGAGCGACTGGTAACATCACCTGCCGTGAGACTTTGTATTACAGGGGCTAGCAGGAAAGCAAGACCAGAGTGACCAGACTTCAGGCAGAGCCCTCCGAGCGGAGCGAAGCAGTCAGCACCGGACCAAGCAATTCCAACACGGAACCAAGCGCTTTCGCAAAGCCTTGGCCAGGCCAGCATCCAGCTGGATGGGGGCGCTGCAAGGGTTCAAGATAAGGCACGGCGAGGGCGACAGCGACAACAAAGATGACCACTTGTTCGCATCCTCAACTTCAGCTCCCAGCAGCAGACCCACCACTCCACGCGTTTCTCTGTACTCCATCTCGAAGCTGCCGGCGATGAGCTCGTTGACTCCTTTCCGATGCAAGAGACAAATCTCACCAGCACTGTTGAAGACGATGCAGGTATCGTGGACTCGGCTGTCACATTTCTCTTCAACAGAGCCAAGAACGATGTAGAGCTGTCTCTGTTTCGCAAGTCGGGCCAGCATCATGATTGCTACGTTGTCGTGCGAGAGCTCCCCTTGATTTGTACATTGCGCAGGATGATCCAAGGAGAACTCGGGCAAGACCGCCAGGTCGACCCGTCGAAAGCGGGTCTCTCGGAGCAAGATGTTCAGGGTTTGCACATACGAAAGCCGGGACGGCGTCTGGAGGACCAGCACCCGCATTGCCCGTATTGGTCATGGCGCGAGGGCTCCTGCTTTCAACCTGCTGAATTCGGCTTGTCTTCATGGTTTTGCGCAACTGCACGTCATTCAAACCTTGCCATCCTGTCTCACCTATTATCATAGGTGCGCAATCAAAAAAATCATGGACCTCCCTTTGCATGAGCTCCACCGTGTCAGGCGCTACTATTGCTAATCACACAGGCCGCTGAGCTTGAAGTTCAGTATGAATCGCATGCGCCATCCGCAGCTCATGCCCATGAGCTCCTTCTTCGCAGAAAAGCTGCTGAACGGCCCTGGGCCCCGAGCTGATCGGCAGTCCTCAGGCAGCTTGAGGGCCAGGCCACCTGGGCCTAGGCTTGGCGATGAATCGATGAACACCACAGGGCCAGTGGGATGGGTCCTTCTGTTGCAATCGCAACTGTTGTTTTTAAAGCTATGATCTTTGCATCTTAGTTGAACTCTCTGACAGGCGAAACAAGAGGAGCAGCAGAGAGCGGGTGCGTCCCAGCACTGATCCCACAACTTCATCGCTCTCTCATTCGCTCTCTTCCACTGATCCGCCTAGCACTTGAGCCGGCTTCTGCTTGGGGACCTGCTGCTCCTTCCGTGTTTTGGTCTGCTTGTCTGGGTTAAGAGCTGCTGGGCTTTTTACATGGCTCGCGTGCATTGTCCAGCAAGACCGAAGGCTTGTTCCTGCAGTTCCTTGCTTCGGCCTTGTGGAGAAACGAAAACCTCTTGATCGCCCAGCGCAGCTGCATCACAGCAGCCTTGGCCCAGGCCTCAGAGCCTCCTTAACATGCAAACTCGTCTGACTTCAACCAAATCAACAAATCAACAAACCACAGAAATCCACACAAAACAAGAGGTTTCCTTCAAGCTTTCAAGTCCCTGCAGCGTTGAGGCTGAGGCCAGCTGGGGGAGGCTTAAGTCCCTGGGCAAAAGAAAAGAACACAAAACGGAGATCTTTTTACCCTTCCTCTTCTCTCTCACTTACCCCTCTCTGCCTCCAGCGCATCGAGTGCCTCGTGCAACCGCCGCTCCTCCGCAGGGCCGTGCTGTGCAGCCTCTGGAAGCCAAGAGAAGTCCATGTCCTTCTGGACCAGAAGACTTCGAAATTGAGACACCTCTCTGAATGACACATTCCGCCGCTTTGCGTTCCCGTTCAGCTGCGGCCGAAATCACAAGGCGCTTGGAGATTGCTGACTGACAGTGACCGGGCCCTGAGAATGGTCCGGAAAGCTTGCGCCTGCATTGACATCTGCGCATATCTGCGCATGGCCAGGTTTGGCTCAACCGTTTTCCAGGTTTGGCTCACCTAGCGCGCGCATATGCAAGGGCGCAGCCATAAAGTGTCTTTGAAGTGCCCATTGCCAAGCCAGCGTCCCGGAAGTGAATGTCCCCATGCTCAAATTTCCGGCAGGCGGCAGGCCGCCCAAGGCCAAATCGTCCGCTATTGAGCCGTTACATGTCCCGAAATCTTTGGTTTCCCGCTCCCAGCCCAAAAGCCAACTCACGCACGGAAACAATTACGTTTAGCTTTGGGAATTCAGCGGGCGGCAATCTTCCGGTTTTCGACCATGGCGGTGCGCGCAATGGCCGAAAATAGCGGTTTCGGGACGGGGAGCCTAGGCTGGAAGAGCGCAATCGGCTGGAAATCCTTTCTCATTTCGAGTCTTGGCCCCCCAAAGCCATCGGGCCACTGCGAAACGGTTCCTGCCATCTTTGTGACTCTTCTGGGTCCCCCTCTTCAATCCCAAATTTGACTGTTTCCTGGGCTGAAGCGGGAGTCAAACCTAAATCCTTCAATCGTTTCAGCCGCCTGAAGCGTGCAGAAATGGCCCCTACCGAGGCCCAAGTCCAACAAACATTTTTGTTTATGGAAACGGCAAGCCAAAATCCGAACTCCGATTTGTGTTTTTGCAAGCCAGTTTTTGCTTTTGGCACGTTTAGGACTTTTGATGTGCTTTGGGGCCGGATGGGGCATTTTCAGCTAGTACGCAGCCTTTGCGGCCGCTCGCATGATGGGCTCAAAACGCGACCGTGGGTCTTGGGTGGTTTCGGGTCGTTGGTCCAGCAAAGCCGGCCCCAATTGAAGCGAGGCATTCCTCTGCATGGCGCACAGAGCCTAGCATAGGATCTAGCAGTAGGTTTCGGGTTTTTTCGTGCCAGCCCTCAATGCGATTGGGACACAGTCCAGCCTGCGTCTCCAGCCGGGCACGTTCGATATCCTCAAATGAAATTAGCTAGCTGTGCGTATTGGTGAGCACTCAGACTCCTTGAGGCTCAGCTGTGCTGTTAGCTGCTGAACCTTCGCCACAGAGAGTCACAGCCGCACGTTATATCAAGTGCTTGTGAGCCTCGTGCCTGCGATCGAGCCTTCTTCAACGCCTTGGAAGCTGAGCAGAGCTTCTTCTCCTGTGCCTTGCAACGTCAAAGCCTCAGAGTAAACGAAGACGAGTGTCACTTTGCCTGCATGTGAACCTCCATCGCCTGCCACTCCTGCTTGCGCAGACAGCAGCTCTTCGCATCTATTGGAGTCATGACAGTACTGGGTCAAAAATGAGGTGTGTCACATTTCAAGAACCCTGCTGCTTGCAGCGCGCAAGAAAGTGTAGTCAGTTGCAGGAACAGGCACTTTAGGACAAGAAGCAAAGCCGCTAAGTCAAACTTTTTGCGTCAAGCGACTTGAGAGGTCCCAGCAACAAATCAATAATACTGGCATGGCTAGTGCGGACCATCAACAAGCTACCTATAGCGCATAGGCAACATCAAAAGTAGCTAGACTACCCGGAGTGCGAAAACACCCCCCTCACCGAGTGCCAACAGTAAGGTGTACACAGAGCACCCAAAAGAAATGGACATACCTTCGCGGGTAGCTACCACTGTGCTTCCGAGGTGAGTGAAATGTATGTGACATAGGTCATACGCCCCCAATCGAGATCAAGTGGGGCTCCAAGAAACTCCTCGAAGTGGGATGTTTGTTGTTTACCACGAATGCTGAGGGCGTGTGTCGCGAAATGCGTCCATCCATGGCGGTTCTCACCACTATTGACACCCAAAAGCAGGAAGTGATCTACACCGCTTCTCTTGACGCCCCGCCTGAGGCTGCAAGCTCCTCTACGCCACCACCATCAATGGCGGGCCAGATGATTGAGGATGCTGAGGATTATGAGGAGGTGGAGGTCGGGCCCGAAACGGCCCTGGAAACTCCCGTGTCGGCAGCAGCGCCCGGGCCAACGCAGTTCCCGTGCGTAGGATGCCAGGCAGAGTGTTACCAGGGACAGCGCCTCTGCACAGGGTGCCGTTATCGTCTCACCGCTGCAAAAGGTGAGGACAAACGCCTCCTTCAAGCTGCAACTCGACGCAACAGAATCCTTGACAGGCTTGCTGCAGCCGGAGTCAACATGGCGAACGTCAAGCCGTACGAGCTCCAGAAGATTGCGAAGCGCAAGCCGGCGGAGGAGCACGGGCAAATGTCATGGGAGGCGCGTGAGATAAGGGGAGCCAAGGATAAAGTCCAGAGGGCGGCCAAAATCAAAGGTGCCAACTACACAGGCCGATCGCTTTGGTCGTGATCCCTCTCTCGCTACTTGACAGGCCGAAGTGGGACTCACGCGCCAGGACATGCTGCGGCAGGAGAGTGTTGCACGCGGTTTTCTTCCTGATGCAGGGAGATCCCGCCAGCAGGTCATCATGGGCTCGGGCAGCCAGGCAGACTTCATGCAGACCCAAAGCAATGCGGTGGCCAAGCTAATCTTCTTCAATGACACCACGGCGGATTAGATGCGCCCCGTGGGTTTGGCTGCCGACCCTACTGCGGATGGCATGGCTTTGGGCTATCACGGATCTTTCATGGATGTTCCGACGCTTGCAAACCCTCAGTCCTCGGAACCACATGGCGCCGGATGAGCAATCCCCTTAGGCTTGTGTTCCCAGTGATCCGAAGGATTGCGGGCAGCTGCCGCATACCTCGTAGCTACTGTGTTACTAGGCTCACCTTCGGTGGTGGCTTGCGAGGGTGGCGTGAAGAGGACGCAACATGCCGCAGCCTGCTCCTTGTTCTTCTTCCTGCTTTTGCTGCGCCTGCGCTTAGCTGGCGACGGGGATCTCTGCTTGTCACCCTTTGCCGGCGTAGCTGGCGGGGTTTTGCTGCGCGAGAACTTGCAGTTTGCTCCTGCATTGCAACGGCCGATCTTCCGGAACCTGCACGGGAGTTTGGAAAGGTCCTTGGGAGAGGAAGTCCTACCATGGCCGGGACTGTTGCCCCTGGGCTTCTCGTGCTTGTACATGCAATCAGCTCCCCTCTCACACTTACCAGTCTTGACCCACGTAAGGCAGTAACCCTTGGGAACCTGACTACTTTCACGCGTTCTAGAGGGTTCTCTACCTTTCCTACCGCCTTTGCCCTTGCCTTTACCATCTTCAGGTGCGGGGGCTCCGTACTTAGCACCATGGGCCTTAACCATCTTATCCCGGTTCTTCCTAACTCTCTCTCTTGTCAAGAGGTACTTGATGGATGAAAGCAGGAACTGATAGCTGTGGGTCCCGGTGCCTTCCGTTGCGCGGTCATAGGTTTCGAGGTCACACTTGAGCCGTTGGTATCCGCGGATCTGCCTGAGCAAGAAACTTCTTAGCGTCAACTCCTCAGGAACATGGGAAACACCGGCAATCACGGACTCCCAGTTGTGGATGAAAGTGCCAAAAACATCGTTGATCAGGCTAACATTTAGGACCTTTAGGAGATCTTCTACCGAGTAGAGCGCCCCAACCTCCTCATTGGTCTTGAAATACTGCTCAAACATCCAGAGAACGTGCCTGCCTCTTAAGGCCTTGGACTTCGCTGCTTCAGATTCCTTTTTGTTGACGATCTGGCGTGCCAGTTCGCACTTTACCACCTTACTGATGGCTGAAAGGAGCTTCGTGTCCAGGGTCAAGAACTTCCCTGGATCACTCAGCCCTTCCAAAGTCTGATCCTCAGTGTACACGGCTTGGACCCAAGTGAAGGCTTCGTCAGGCCTGTCTGAGGCTGCGCGGATTACCTCGCGAGCAGCAATCCTCCATGATCGATAGGCTTCTGGCTTGGGAAAGTCCAGCAACTTGAAGTCCAACAACTTAATCGTTTCGGCCTCTTTGATTTTGGGCTTGCCGTCTTCATCACCCTTGTTCAGCACAGACTGCAAGGCTTTAACTAAAAGATTCTCGGGTGATGGGTTTTCAACGACTGCACCGGGGACGTCTTTACTCGATACAGCTCGTTCCTTACGGGGTGTGGCGTTCCCGGAGTGGATGGGAATGGCTTGCCCTGCGAAAATGTTCTTCATCTCCTCAGGAAGCTGGTAAGGATTAGGTAATGAATGGGTCACGGAATTCTGCACGGAGTTTAGCGGGACTTGAATTCTTGGCAGAGGCTGTTCCTTGCGGAAAGCCAGCTTCGGAAGGGAGGAACATTTTCTAGAAGACCGGGCAACCTCGCCAAGTTCTCTTTGCAACTCTGCGTTTTGTTCCGACATGTCCTGAATCAACCAATCGAGGACATGTTTGTGATCCTCCTTTAGTGCATCCATCTCGGTTCGGAATTTACCGGACACAAATAGTTTCGGCACGGTTGGAGTCAAAAGCCTTCCTCATCGCTACCATTTCCTCATCCTGCCTATCAGACCTTTCGGACGCTTGGACAAGACGACTAATAAGGTGTTCTGTATGCAGCTCTGTCATCAAAGCTTCCTGTCTTTGAGATTCGAATGCCTCCTGCACTGATCTCAGTGTCAGCTCAGACTTCATTGCATCGGCAAAAGAATCGAACTTACAGACCAAAGTGGCAATCTTGCTATGATGCTGCTGATCTGCGAAGTTCCTGAGCTCTTGCATTTCCGCTTGCACTTGTCCACGTGCAAAGTCCTCGTACTCCCTGAACCGGAGTTCTGCATCAAGTCGTACAGCATGTGCTGCTGCCTGAGCCTGAGCGTCGCCTGAGTTGGTTACCTGGATGTTCTGCTGCATGAGGTTCATAATGCTCGCATCAACATAGTTGCAGCTTCCCCATAGTGACATCAGGAGTGCTGTTCATCGAGGATCCGGCGGGAACAGGAACTTTACCAGGATAAGAGCAGTAGTCGGCAAGGCGAGAGCCATAGCTGACTACGGCTGATAACCTGTAGTTACGGGAACCAGCACTCTTGGACAAGAAGCAAAACCGCTAAGTCAAACTTTTTGTGTCAAGCGACTTGAGAGGTCACAGCAACAAATCAATAATACTGGCATGGCTAGTGCGGACCATCAACAAGCTACCTATAGCGCATAGGCAGCATCAAAAGTAGCTAAACTACCCGGAGCGCGAAAACAAAAAGGGCATACTTTGGACAACACGAGACAAGCATCATCAGCACACGTCACAGACTTGAACCCAAGCCGCTTCCAGCTGATTCTGCTGTCAACAAGCGTGGATGGGGAAACTAAGTAGGACCAATGTGATGCAAGTAATTTACAGTATCTGACAGCTCCATGCTCAGAAACGGAGGCCTTCGCTCTGATGCATTTGAGAAATTGACAGGGCTTGAGGCTCACTCTGTTGGCCTGATCAGAGATCAGCATGGCCGGACGTCCCATGTTGACGCATCATGTCGCAGCAAATGCGCGCCGAACCCGCACCATGAGCGGCATCGGCATCCAATTCAGGGCCCCCACAACATGCACATGCTGTCTGAAGAACTGCACAGCCACTGGCGACTCCCTTTTGTCGCCTTAGACCCTTGGCCTTTGGCCTTAGCAGCTTTGCAACTTTCCAGCAAGACGAGCCCTGAGCCTCAAGTCCTTTCAACCCTTTGAATGTTAAAGCCTGCGTTTGCAACTTTGGCGCACACTAGCACCTTGCTTCCACGTTCCCAAAGCTGGCATCCCAGAAGACGTGCCCACACGTGTCCGACCGCGTTTGCTTGGCTTGACACTGTGCGAGTCAACAAAGACATTCAATGGACCTCTATTTTTTTGAACTAGATCTTGTCCAGCCTGGGCTTGTCCATCTAGCTGGGCTTCTCCTGGAAAGCGCTTTTTCAACAGCTCGTCTATTTCCTCAAACTGAGGTGCCTGGACGGTTGTTGGGGCCCAGCGCCGGAGGGGATGCTTCCTGGCTGCGCTTAAGAGCCCGTGAGTTGGAGCACGATTTGCACACTCAGCGGCTGCGCGCTCCTCGTCCGTCGGCTCCTCCTCGCTCTGGTTGTCGCGGCTCTGACCTTGGTTCTCGCCTGTGCCAAAATTTGCCGTTGGGTTCTCTAATGTTCCCACGCTTTTTGCCCTCTACTTAAAGAAATCACCTCATCCTCATCAGCCCAGACTGCTTGATTTCCCTGCCTGAGCGGCGCCACAGCCACATGCCGCGTGTTTAGACATTCCGATGTTTCCCAACAGCTTCCGTAAGATTGGAGCAGAGGTGTTGGTCTGACAGAGTACTACACATGCTTTGAAATCTTGTTGGCTGCTTCACAAGCTTGATGCCGGAATCAGGAATGCACTGACGCAATCTACTCAATTCACGAACGTGCCAAGTGCAATTATGCTTGGAGCCTGACTCCTTTTTGATCAGCACATCCGAACAGCTTGAATCGAAGAACGTGTCGGCCTGAACAAACCGAAAAACTCAGCCTCCAAGGCCACCAAGGCTAGAGGCATCTGCAAGGAATCGTTGGCGTCTTCGGCAAAATCTGTATTCGGCTTTCACGCGCAGACACGCTTAAGAGGGGGTGAATCAACATGCCGAGCCTTTCCGAATGGCGGCTGTCTTTCTAGCCCCATCAGCTAAGGCCGTAGGTACTGTCCGAACTGCTGCGAGTTGAAATATTATAGCCACTTTGTCAAGTAGAGTTCGCCGCAGGGTCCAGGCAGCAAAACATGCACCGACACTCAATCCCGCTAAGGGAGGAGCTTTCAACGAGCATTTGCTACGCCATTACCCGGCCATCAGTGAGGTGCCTAAGCTTCGCAGGAACTTGGTGCAAACTAGGTCATAGAGCGGTTTGCTGGGACGCCTGATAATCATAATAGGGCGCCCCTCAGAATCAATTGAGCAAAGGGCCATAGAAGACGGTATCGGCCTGGCGGAGGATCATGAACGCCAAGTGGCCTGAGGCCTAGCCAAGGGGCCCAGGCCCTGGTGCATTGAAGCCGCCGTAGCCTGGAGCCTGCAAGAAATCTAGAAGAAAGCGTGCAGTTTTAGCTTCCTATCCTAGCATCCTAGCTGTCCCAGGCTCCTAGGTTGTTTCTGGGCTTCCAGCTGATCTGGGCACTGCGAAGGAGCCAGGCTGGGCAAAGTATTTTTGGGTTTTATGCGGAAACGAGCAAACAGCTTGGAACGAAAGCGACGGAGCCGCTGGGCTCTGCACGGAGGCGGGTCCGATGGGCCTTGGGCAGCTTCTTTTTCTTGTGAAGTGTAAATCTAAAAAAAGGGCCGCAGCTGCGCCATGCTTGCAGCAAGAGGTCGGTATGACCTCAACTGAAGACAACAGGAGAGGGAAGCAATCCTGCTCTCATGTACTTCGTTTGGGTGCGAGATCGGCATCTCTTGCGGCTTCACCGTCTGTGTCCCGCGGCGGAGTGTTGAGGCGTCGGAGTTCTTCATGCAAAGCGTCGATGTAGGCCGCCTGCCTGGAAAGACAAAACCTGCTTTGTGAGGCTCTCACTTCAGATCCTGCACGCAGGCCGCTTGGGAAGAAGGAAAACAATTCTTGAGTTTCACGACCCCCTCTGGCTCGCAACTGAGAAGCTGCTTGTGGGATGCAATGAGCGCCTGCTGTCGGGACAAAGCACAAATCAAACAGCCAAACTATGCGAAGCCAAGCCGAATGAAAGACCGGCCTTCAAGTCAGGGCCTGCAGATGTGTAAGAAAAAAAACACATGAGCAGCTCTTCCCTTGATTTCCCCTGGCCTGCTTGAGTTTTGACATCCTGCAGGAAACGCATGACAGCATGTGCAGAGCGCAGGTTGGCAGAGTGCTGGCTCTGAGTCCTCCCCAACAAAGATCCCGAAGGTGGATCTTGAACCTTGCTGAACCTTCCACAAAGCGTCTCTCACCTCTCTACACCCACCCCTCGCGACGTGGGTGCATGCGATGGGATCCATTCTCTTGCCTGTGAGGCACTTGTGACTTGTTCTTTTACACCCCTGCATCCATTCTTTTGATCAGAAATGCGTGTTCTTCAAGGGTCGGATACGGTGTTCTTTGCCTGTTCGTAGGGTCGACCCAGACTCACGCCTGCCCTGCTGTCTGGCTGGAAAAAATACATGTACTTCGAGCATCCCCACCCTAAAGCCGTTATTGCACAAGAAGTGTAACGTTTCCCTGCTCCCCCCTCAATTGTCTTCCTTGC